ACTACTGCCTGGTTGTTGATAACTGCCATCAAGTTGACAACAACTCACAGTGACCTCCATATGTGTGAGTAGAACTGTTCCAAGGGGTTTTCAAGGCTGTGACCTTTTGGAAGCAAATCACCATGCTTGTCTTCCAAGGCAACTGTGGGTGGGTTCCAACCACCAACATTTTGACCAGTAGTAGAGAGCTTAATCATCTACACTACCTAGAGAATGACAGTCTTAGAGGGACGTATTATGTGGATGCTGCATAAATGTGAATGCTGAAGTTCAGAGAGGAGCAGTGACTTGTCCAAGGTCACACAGCAAGGAACTGGCAGAGGCTTCGTGTAAGCCCAAGTCTTTCTGACTCCAGAGTCTGGGATTTAGAACAAACATTTGCAGCATGAGGCTGACAGATCTGTCCCTCAAGGTCGCTGCAAGGACTAGATGGGAAAACAGGGTGAGACACCTGGCACAGTGCCTGACACACAGTGCCCAAGGAGCAGGAGTGGGAGTGGGAGTGAAACCTTGTCCATCGCCAAGTAATTAACTATATAGGGAAGAGGGGCAGAAGCCAAGAGAGGGCTTGTAATGTGCCAAGGTCACTCAGCAGGCAGTGGACAGAGCACAAGCTCCCTGGCCCCCGGATCATACTCCCTCCGCACCCACCCCTCCACAACTAAGGGCAAGGGCCAACATCCCTCAGGGCTGTTTTGTCCCCAGAGAGTGGAAACTTCCAAAGTCTCTCTGACTTGACACCAGGAAACCAGACAGGAAAGAGAACAAGGGCAGGAATGCCTGCCCAGTCTACAAATCTCAAGCCGGCAGCTAAAATCTGAAATCCCAGGGTTTGCCACAATTGCTCCTCCCACCCTTTCAGCATCCCCCACCCCTGGGGGTATTTATTCCATATTCTACTTAATCATCCAACGAGTGAAGGGACATCCAAGGGTGCTGGTGTTACAGGAGTCTGAATGCTGGCAATGGCCAGGGAAATGAAGCACTAACGCTGAGACTCCAGGCACTGCAGTGATTTGATGAGACCAATCATAGCACTCGGATGGCCAGAGCTGAAAGGAGTCACTATCACCTTCCCCTGGGGTTTTCAAACTTTTCGAAAGCTGTAGGCCCTTCTCTTCAAACAATATCCACAGCCTATGCCACTCTCCCCACCACCCACACCCCCACACCTCCCTGTGGTCACTGGCAGGTTCTAGGGGAGATCCTATGGGGCAATGAGACTTGAGAAAGAGAAACACAGCCCCTGACAGCCAGGAGCTGGCCAGGCATGCCCAGCCAAACCTTTGTGTACACACACAACCGAACATAAACAACTTCACAGAACACCAGCAGCAGACAAGGCTGCTCTGTGACTGTGATGAGCCAAGACAAAAACAAGACCACTAGGTCATCACTGGAGTCCCTGGGTAGTGGAAATAGTTAAGCACTCAGCTACTAACTGGAGGGTTAGAGGTTCAAGTCCACCCAGACACACTTCAGAAGAAAGCCCTGGCAAACCACCTTTGAAAGGTCACAGTTACAGGGAACTCTATGGAGCTTGGTTCTATTCTGATGCACATGTGGTTGTCATTAGTTGGAATCCATTTGAAGGCAACTGGTTTGGGTTTTTTTGGATAATCATGGCTGAGTACAGACAAAAAATGAACATTGTATTGTTTAACCCATAAGAATGACCAAACATTTCCCTTTAATCAGAGTAACAACTGTGTCTTTGCCAACTACAGTAAAACCTGTGAAAGCAGGAAACTGTGTAAGGCAGAAACCTGTCAGAGAAGGAAAATTCAAATATTTTTCACTACCAGTGAGCGATAGGAAAGTGGGACAACTGCACCCTGCCAAAGGCGGAAAACTTCAGAGACCCAGAAAAACAAGGCATTCCCATGGAGTTCCAGCTCTCACAGGTTTCAATGTAAAGCTTTAACCTTGGTCTGGTCTTCCCTCCTAGATAAGATTTATTAAGAGCCCCAGTCATGGTGGCATAGTGCCTAAGGCACTTGACTGCTAACCAGAAGGCTGGCGGTTCAAACCCACCAGCCACTCCTCAGAAGGAAGGTTGGAAGGAAGGTTGGGCAATCTACTTCCGTAGCGATACCACCTCGGAAACCCAAGGAGGGTTCGCTATGAGTTGGGTCCAACTTGAAGGCAGGTACCAACAAGACAACAAATCACCTACCAAAAGCCCAGACCCTATAAGAAGTCTTTTCTAACTCCCGCAGGCAGACACACCCAGTGGTTCTCCATGTTGCTTGCTATCCCTCGCTGCAACCAGAAGCTCAACATGTCTGACTCCAGGTGGGCTCCTGATGGGCTCTGGGCAGGAGGGTGAGGGCAGATTGATTTCATCAAGCACTCCCAAGCCTTTACTCCTGCAAGATTCAAAGGTGGGCATACATCTGCCTTTTGCACATGGGGAAACCAAGGGCTATGGAGGCAACTGGGCTTGTCCAGGGTCCCACAGTATGGTGACTATATAATTTATTGTCCAAATGGGATGCCTCTGAGAATGAAACAATGCACTGTTAATAACTAAGGCGAGATAATGGGCATAACCTGGGAGTGTCCTGAGCAGTTCAGGTGTAGGATCTCCCTCTCAAGCAGCAAGATGGTGGGAGCCCTGGGACTGAGCCAAAGCCCCAGCCACACCATCTCTCTGTTTCCCTGCGCCCTCTGCCTGGCCACCTGAGGCACTGCATCTCTCCCTGCTGGTCTTGGCAGCCAGAGCCTTCATCTAACCTGGTTTCTGTTTCATCCCCTGAAGTGTCCAGCAATTGTGACTCAGGAGGCCAATCCTGACATTCAGCACCATGCAGCTGCACTGCATGGTCATGACACTCTGGTTGGTGTTAACTTTCCTGATTGTGTCCTCAGTGCCAGTCAGCATGCTGCCTCATTTATCCTGCCCAGAGTGGGCATGAGTTTTTTTTACCTAGAAGAATTAGCCAGGTGAATGAAGGTGACCCCTTTAAATGTCAACAAGTTTTTTTTTTTTTTTTTTTAATTTTAGCTGTCCATGCTGGTGTTCTTTCTGATGCAGTTCAAATACTTCCCTGCCTTACTTAGTACACATAGCACATAGACATGCTATAATTGCACCTATTCAATGATATGGGGTTGTAAGCTGGAACATTTGTCCCCATGTCACAACAGCAGAGGGAATGCGCCCCAATGACAGTCTTTGATGCTGGAGGCAGAAATGGTCCAGAAAAAGAGGGAGTGTGTTCCAGGGGGACTAACTCTCACCAAGCAGAGAGGGGCATCCCCTTTCCTGTGCCAGGACTCCCCTCACCACCATCCCTGACCAATGGCCCAGCTCAGGTGAGTCTCCTGCTCCCAGGTGACCCAGGTGCAAGCTCTGTATGTGTACCTGGTTTGAGGTAGTGTCACAGCCCCTTTCTCTGCAGCAGCTACCATCCCTGTGCTGGGCACAGAGAGATGGGTAAGAGAAAAGCTATTCTGTGATGCTACCATGCAGTGGCATCGTCAGGGGCTGCTCAGCCAGCTGAGCTATCTGCCCCTGCACTGGATGGCCCTGGATGTCTGTGAGCTTGTCACTCTGCTGCGTCTGATGTGTCCTCTCTTAACTTCCTTTCTCCCACCTTAGAGAGATCTGGTAGCTGTGGTTAAAGCATTGAGCAGCAATTCAAACCCACCAGTGCTCTGTGGGAGAAAGATGAGGCAATCTGCTTCCATGAAGATTTATAGCCTTGGAAACCTTGTGGAGCAGTTCTGCTATGTCCCATCGGGTCACTATGAGTCAGGGTCATCTTGATGACAGTGTTTTTGTTCTCCCACTTCAGCTTTTCTCTGCATTCTGTCCCTAACAAGAAACCAAGCTGACTAGAATCTGAGCCCTTGCAGGGCAACAAGCATACCAGCTCATCTCTCTCCCCCGAGGGATCCCAAGTTAAGTAAGGCACATGGTAGATGCTCAGTAAATGAACTGAACCAAACTGAGTTAAGCCACAATGCTTCATTTTACCCACAATCCTAAATCAATGTGGATATATTGTGTGAGGGCAGGAGGTTCACTCTGGAGGATTTGGGTCTGGCTTTGTGGCCACTGTACAGGCCATTTGGAGGTCTGAATGCCAGAGAGTAGAGGGGCTAGGAGTCTGAGAGTTGGAAAAGGGGGAAGAGGTCATTATCTGTGAAAGCCTCCAGGGTCCTGCTCAGTTCTGGACATCCTCCATGACCACCTATGTTGGCCAGGCAACACAGACACAAGGGAAGTAAACAAAGATGCTGCCCTGAGCAGGAGGCAGACAGCCATGCTCCAGTGATCCGTGTACAAGGTCCGGAGAGGCACAAAAGAGCAAGGGCTAACTCGTCCAGGAAGCAGGGATGCTAGGAAAAGGACAAGTAAGAATTTTCAGGCAGGCAAGAGAGGAAAGGGCATCCTGGTGGGCAGCTTGGGTGAGGGCTGGAGCAGCAAAGTGAGTGTGCCTGGGTGGCGGGGCAGGGACAGGGACTTGGAATTGGGGAGCAGAGCATGTGAGATGAGGGGACCAGGGACTAGACCAGGGAGGTCAGCAGTGCTCAGTCTTGGTGAAGGAGCAATAGCATCACCAGGGGTGAGGTGGGAGGATGGATAGCTCTGAGTAAAGACAGATCATGCCATCTGCCAGGTGGAATGAAAGATTCAACAAGGATTGGGAACCCTGAGAGGCCTTTGGGGGACCTCAGGTAGCACCAAGGAGGGTCTCTATCAGCTTTGGGGGAAATGGAAAAGGCCGTTGAGGGGCCTGGCTGCTGGGAATCTTCCCAGAAAATCATATTTTACCTTCAATATTTTCCCAAAGAAAACTCCTGGTCAGAGCAATGATGGTGGACTGTAAATAACCACCCTCCGGTGGTCTTTCTTTACCATTCTCAAGAGTTCTCAGGTCCACCATCTCCTCTGACTCTCCATACAACTCCACTTTGCAGATAGAAAAACTGAGGTCCCGTGAGGTCACATGGGATATTGGTAGTCATGCCACCCAAGGAGCAGGTGAATCTCAGCCCTGGGTGTCAGGCTCAAAGCCCAGTTCCTTGTCTGGGAGGGGGTCCCCGGGCCCATCAGGCAGCCCATAGTACAAGTCATCTTCCTCCTGAAGTTCCTCCATGCCTGTGTCTGATGCTGCCTCCACCTTCCTCCCAGGATACTGCTGCCAGTAGCTGGGCAGGACTGCCTCCTGCTCTGGCCCCTCTGGGGGCGTGTCTCCTGATGTGGGGGCGTCAATCATGGCAAAATCCTGGAAGCGGTCCAGCTGACACCTGCAGGCACAGGGATCTGGCGGCAGGTGAGGCTCCTCCTCAGTGGGTGGAGACGGGTTGGGACTGCTGCCCTCGCTGGAGCCCACGTCCAGGTTTTCTTGGAAGGAGGCCAAAGGTGCAGGGCCCTGGGGACTGGCTGGGTGGCTGTAAAGGCAAAAGCCACGAGGGCGAGGGTAGCTCTGAGTAGACTGCTTGGGTCCAAATCCCAGCCACTAGCTTCGAGGGCTGGAATGGAATAGTTAAGCTCTCTGGGCCTCAGTTTCCTCCCCTGTAAAATGGGGAAGTATTTATCCCTAGGGTTGTGTCTGAGGTTTACAGTAAATGTGTGCAAAGCACTTTGCACAATGCCTGGCACACAGTAGGTGCTCGGGAAACAGGAGCTCTTACCATGTTATTTAAACCAACCCCCTTGGCCACTCCTCCAGTCATTCAGGATCTCCTGTGGGCTCTGCCACACTGGGGTATTCCCATCTGTTTCCCTGTCTGTCTCCCCCACTGGCCTGGGAGCTCCTGAAAGGTGGGGGCCAGGCAAGTCCTGGCATTGAACAGGTGCCCAGCAATGTTGATGGAATGAATAAATAAATGGATGAACGAAGAACTCTGTTCATAAACAGATGGGGGCAGGGATGGGGTGGGAGTAGGGAGTGACTTGCCAGAGGTCATAGAGCAAGTCAGTGGCAGAGCTGGAATTTGAACTCAGGCCCACTTACTCCTCATGCCCTGCTATGCACAGTGAGCATTCAGAGAGAGCAAGGGCCCCCTGTGTGCAGGAGTTTAAATACATTTTCTTAATCCTCACAGCAACCCTGTGTTGTAGGAATACCTATTCCCAGGTGGGGAAACTGAGGCTCAGGGAGGATAAGAAACTTACCAAGGTTACACAGCAGAAGAGCTGAGCCTTGAACCCAGCTGTCCACGTGCATTTGTACTGCTACGCTTGCTGCCTATTAGAGCGTCCTCTACTCCCCACTGCCCTCTGTTGTTGTTGTTTGCCGTCCAGTCGGCCCCGATTCATAGCGACCCCTCCTTGGGTTTCCGAGGCAGTATCACTACAGAAGTAGGATTGCCCAACCTTCCTTCTGAGGAGTGGCTGGTGGGTTTGAACCTCCAGCCATCTGGTTAGCAGGCAAGTGTCTTAGCCACTATGCTACCAGAGCTCCTCCACTGCCCTCTACTTATTCTCATATGTCCCCAACTGTTCCTCAGCCACCCCACACCCCTTTCCTCCTTCATTCTGGACTGGGCAGCCTTCCTGCTCCTGCCCTCCATGTGCTCACCTGGACCTGCTTTGAGCTGGGATTCTTTCTTGCTCTTCCTCGTCCGAGCCCCGGTGGACGACCACAGTGGTCTCCTTCCAGGCCTGAGAGTCAACAGGGTCACCTTCTCCTCCATCACTGGCTCCTGGCTGCGGTCTCCCAGGCTCAGAGGTCAGCAGAGGGCGGGGGTCATCGTCGTAGCCCATGACTTTCATCTGGGTGTGGCTGAAGTCGGGCAGGCTCTGGTCATAGGCAGCGTCGTCCCAGAGCCTGACGTAAGGGGGCTGGAGGCTGGGGGTCATGAGAGGCAGAGGGGGAGAGAGAACAGGCAGGGGGACAAAGATTCACTCAACAAACAGTCCACGCTCTGCCCGCTCTGCTTGCTCCAGGCATCTGGTCGCCTCCCATCACCCAAGAAGCCTCTGGGGGAATTACTGCACCATTTCATGAATGAGGCAGCTGAGACTCAGCAAGGCCAGTAAATGGAGTGGCAATGCGTGATCCCACTTGATGTCTCCAAAGTTAGCAGCAAGGGTATGATAGTAACATTAAGAGCTGTTAACACTTACTGAGAGTTACTATGTTTAGAGGGTGAGCTAAAGCCTTTACACTCCACATCTCATTGATTCTAAATACCACCTTGATGAAGAAATTTTCACTCCCATTTTACAGATGAGGACAGAATGGCAATAGTAGCCCACAGTTACTGAGTGCTCCTTGCATGCAGACTCTATTAGTTAATTCCTGTAATTCTTACCATAACTCTGGGAGATACTGTGAGGAAATGGACCTGTCCAGGGTGACACCAAAAAACAACCAAACTCACTGCCATCGAGTTGATTCTGACTCATAGCGACTCCCATTGGGTTTCCAAGATAAATCTTTACAGAAGTAGATTGCCTCATCTTCCTTCCACAGAGTGGCTGGTGGGTTTAAACTGCCAACCTTGTGGTTAGAAGTCCAATGCCTTAGGGGCTGTGCCACCAGGGAGACACAGCCACTAGGTAATGACACTAGAGCTCCAGCCATCACATTCTTTACAGCTGGGTCCCTCAGAAAGCGAGGTCCGAGACTAGCTTCCTTGCCTAGATTATACAGCTGGGAAGCAGCAGAGAGGAGACCAGAACCCAGGGTGGCCTAAGCCCCACCCTCTCACCACAGCCTCCAGGTGTAACCAGGCCCTGGTGCAGAGCCTAGACTGGCTCATGTCCCCACCTGGGGTCTATCCGCTGCATTCCCACTGGGACATGTCGTAATGCTGTGCACCAAGAGCAGAACATGCCGCCATCCTGTACTTCCTCAAGTAGAGAGTCCCGGAGCCCAAGCCCACAGACCCGGGTTCCTGAACACAAAGCCATGGCCCAGGAGCAGGGGGATGAGCTAGTCCCACCATGGTCAGCTGGCCCCACTGCCTCTCCAGGGCTGTGCCTCGAGGAACCAGGCTTAACACATCTAGGAAGGGAGGCAGGTCTGGAGCCAGGGCAGGCCTGAGTTCAAGCCCTATGTCTGTCATTGACTCTCCATGACATTTGGGGCCTGTGACTGAACCTCTCTGAGCCTTGGTTTCCACATGTGTATAATGGGCCTACCACTGCCTCCTCTTGCACATCAAAGTCTTCCTGTGAGGACTGAAGGGGTTAGAGGTGCACAGTCCCTGATCCAGTCTCTGGAACACACTTATACTACACGCCAGGGTCTGTTCTCGCACTTTGTATGCTTTATCTCAGGTAACCTTCCCAAGACTCTAGAAGCTAAGTCCTATAACCAAACCAAAAACCAAACCCACTGTCATAGAGTGGGTTTCCACTCATGGTGACCCCGTGTCTTATAGAGTAGAATTGCTCTATAGGATTTCTTGGCTATAATCTTTAGGGAAGCAGATTGCCAGGCCTTTCTTCTGCAGCACCACTGGGTGTGTTTGAATTGCCAACATTTAGGTTAGTAGTTGAGCACAAATCGTTTGTACCATCCAAGGACCTCAGTATCCCCATTTTATAGATGGAGCACATAGAAGAACGTTGTTGAGAATATACACAGCAAAACCTACGCCAATGCTACAGTTTCTACCTGTACATCAACCAAAGTCACACAGCTCGTAAGTGGCAGAGTCCCAGAGTGTGGGCCTTGGCCGTCTTGTTGTTTGTTAGTAGTAGGGGCAGTCAAACGTGTGGGATTTAGGATTAAACCTGTTCCCAATGTCTGGTCTGCCTCTAATTCACTGTGAGACTCTCTCTTGACCCTAAGCCTCAGTTTCCTCATCTGTCAAATGGGAATCATGTTTACCTCACAGAATTGAGGGTTCAAAGCAATACATGGTTCCTATTAGTATATTCTCAGGAGGTGGCACATGGTGAGGAGTCCCCAGCCACGCCCACAGCCCCTTTCTATCTCTCTCCTTCGTAAGGGGACCCCGGTGCAGCTCTAGCACCTACCTCTTCATCTCGGTGCCCAGTTTGTTCTCCAGCAGCTCCAGGGCCTTTGGGGATAGGATGCCTTGAAATTCGGAGTCAGCAGGCACAAAGGCAATCTAGAGGGCAAAGAGAAGACGGCTTCTCTGGGGCTGACTGCGGCAGGGACCAGCAGACTCATCCACCCTTGGCTGCTGCTTACCTCAGAGCCTGGCCTAAGCCTCCCCACAGCCTGGAAAAGAGGCAGCCAGGGAGGGTCTCTCCATTTGAGAGGGGAGAGGCTAGCCCAGCCCCAGCACCATGAGTGGACTGGATCTCTGGGCTCCTGCCCCGCACCCTGGCTCTTCTTCATCTACTCCAAAAATGTTTATTGAGCACCTGCTGTGTGCCAGGCACTCTTCTGGGCACCAGGGGGCAGCAGTGAATGAAAGAGATAAACATTTCTGCCTTTGAAAGGCTGACATCTTGCCATTTCCCCAAGGTCCTTGCCCAGTCCTGCACATGCTCAGCCCAGAGCAGGCACTTTGTCTATAGTTGGTGAACGAGTGGAAAGCAACTTATTGTCCAAAGTTTCTATGGTGGGGGACAGAGAATGGATGGCTGGAGTCATTCCTACCAGTCCTTATCTCTGAACTTTCAGAAGCCAAGAGGCCTTTGCAAGTCCAGAAGTCTCTGGGTGGTGCAAATAGTTAATGCATTTGGTCCCAAACTAAAAGGTTGGAGGTTTGAGACCAACCAGAGGCACTGCGGAAGAAAGGGCTGACAATCTACTTCAAAAAATCAGCCATTGAAAAGCCTATGGAACCTTAAACCAAAAATATCCCTCAAAGTCTTCTTAAAACCAAACAACCAAAAAAAAACCAAACCCACTGCCATTAAGTCAGTTCCAACCCCATAGAACTGCCCCATAGAATTTCCTATCTTTGGGAAGCAGGTTCCCTCATCTTCCTTCTGAAGAGTGGCTGGTGGGTTCAAACCACTGACCTTCTGGTTAACAGCCAAATGCTTTAACCACTACACCACCAGAACTATTACAACAACCAAACAGCAGTTTAGTTAACTAGTCAAGCACATCTGCCTTAATTAAGCATTGTGCTTTTTTAAGACCTATCTGTAGAATCACATTGGCAACGGTACCTTGAAAGATTAAACAGGAATCATAGGGGGGCAGTGAGTTTATGTGAATGGGGGAGGCACGACTCAGAAAAGGAGGGTGACAATGGTTGCCCAGGTTGAAGAATGCAATCAATGTCACTGAATGGTACCGGTAGAAACTGTTGCATTGGTGTAGGTTTTGCTGTGTATATTCTCAACAACAACAAATCCACAGTTCCACTGCAGCACATGTGGAATTATCACAAGTTAGAGCCAACTTAATGGCAACTGGTTTGGTTCTGCAAGGCTGGGACCATGGGATGGACACTGGGCAGTGAACAGGGAGGCAGGCCTCAAAGGAGGCAGCGGATGAGGCAGAAGAAGCCCTGCCTTTGGGAACTAGGAGGTTGGGAGGGAGTCCTTTCTCTGCCAGGTCCTCACTGTGGGGGCCTTGGGCAGGTCGTCTCTCCTCCCATGGTCTCTCTGTGCTCCTGCATACAATGAGGCTATCATGCCTGTTTCCTAGGGCTGCTGTGAGGATTCCATGAGATAGTATATAAGGAATCCCCCACACGATGCCTGGCACAGACTAGGTGTTCAGAGACTCATAACTTGATGCTACTAAAGATGGTGGTACCTGACTTCTCTGAGTCTTGCTGTCCTTAGCTGAAAATTTGTTCAGTAAGTACTAAACGAGACCTTTCCATGTGCCTGATTCATAAATAGCTGCCACTGAGCTGGCCATCAACTCATGGTGACCCCACGCACAGTGGAACAAAACACTGCCCAGCCCTGTGCCATCTCCAGGATTGGTCAAGGACTGGACCATTGTGATCCAGATGGATGGGTTTTCAGAAGTAGATTAGCAGTTCTTCCCAGTCTGTCTTAGTCTGGAAGCTCTGCTGAAACCTGCTTAGCATCATAGCCACACACACGCCTTGACTGGTGAATGGGTGGTAGCTGCAAATGAGATGCATTGTCTGGGAAGAGTTCTACCACTGAGCTAGCAACCCCTTTATTTTCTGCCCATAGAATGCAATGAGTGGAAGACACTTGTCTGCACTGGAAAAGCTGCCATCCTGCTGGGGAGAAGGCAATGATGGATGGAGGGGCTCTTAGAATCCCTCTAAGGGTGAATTTCCCCTACATGGCTGGAAATACAGCAGGGGCTTGGACAGAGGAGGATGGACATTCTGGAGGAGCCATGAAGCCTGGGCACTAGTCCGGGCTGGCTTCATCATCAACACACTATACCACAAGTCAACTAGTCTGAGCCTCAATTTTCCTATCTGCCAGTCTCTCAGAGATCAAATAAGATTATGGACTGAAGCAGCTTTGGAAAAGTTGAAGTGTAAAATCATACACACAAACACTTGCTATATGTCAACACTTGCTATATGTCAAGCCCAATGTTGGCCAAGCGAGAAGTCCCCAAGAGTAAGGCAGACAGGAAAGTAATGCCACGATGCAGTGAGACCTCTTGGATTCCTTTGGCCCTGCACTCTTCCACTTGGGTCCCAGTGACTTGTTATACATTTTGGGGGTTGCTTTCACCTCCACTAAGGATGCCCTGCATTTGCCAGTTGGTTCTGTATGTCCTAGAAGTTACCCCTTTGTCTGTCTCATTAACTCATGACCCAATCACCACCACTACCATCAGCATCATCACCATTGCCATTATCAAAAGTGAGTGGGAGAGGTCAGAGCATCTTAGAACACGAGGACTTTGATTGGGGAGTGGGGTGAGAAGGGTGGACAGACAGAACTGAGGCTTCAGAGGAGAGAGCAGACCATAGAGACTCCCAGAATATCAGATGAAGGAGCCCAGTCTTTATCCAGAAGCAATGGTGAGGAGTTTTCAGCAGGAAAGTGCACAGTCAAATTCTTGTTTAGGAAGTGTAGTAGGTGGTCCCTAGGGTAGAGTGAGGCCCATGGGGAAGGACAGGGCCATCAACTACCAATCAGGGGCCTGGTACAGAGCAGGCAGGAGGGAGGAAATGGGACCAGCAAGAAGACAGGGAGAGGCCCTGTAGGGAAGAGGGCCACTCTCCCTACTTGTCCTTTGCCTGCTCTCACCTCCCTTCCCCCATCTCAGTTAAATGGGCTCAGCATCCCTGAATGCTCCACCTATTAGCTTTGTTCTGATTCATCCTCCTCCTCTCACATCCAAGGCTCAGCCGAGCACCAGATCTTACCAGGTCTACTTCAGAAATCAAATGAGATAACCTCGGTGGTAGTGCCTGATACCATGCTGCCATGGGGGGTGCTCCAGATTTGATGACCTGGAAATGTCTTCTCAGCTGCTACAACCTTGGGTTCAAATCCTGACCTGGTCCAGGTCACCACCATCTCTCATCCAGACAAGAGAAGAAGCTGTCCCATTAGCCTGGCTCCTCCCTGAATCTTCTACCTCCCAGCCATCACCATAACTTTCATAAACTGCAAGCTGATCATCTCTCTCTCTTATCCCATCAACTAACAGGTAAGGTCTAAATTCCTAAGCATGGCATTCCATTCCCATGGAGTGGAGCTCACCCCTTCTCTGCTTTTCCCTTTGTCCCCCACCCTCCAGCAGCCATGCGACCCACCAGCCTTGCTCTTTCACCCTTATGTTTTGGATCACGTTATTCCTCCTGTCTGGAATATCTCTCCTGTCTTCTCTGTCTGTGAACTTCCATTTCACTTACAAAGCACCAGTTCACTTTCTCTGTGAAGCCTGCTCTTTCTCCATCAGGCAGAAAACTGTCCCCCCACTAAACTCCAAGTTTACCACTTATTAGTCTACCCTCGAAAAACGACACCAGTATCAGTTGCCGTCAAGCCAGCTCCAACCCATGGCAACCTCATATGTGTCAGAGTGGAACTTTGCTCTGTAGGCCTTACAAGAGATGATTATTCAGGAGTGGATTGCCAGGCCTTTCTTCCACAGTGCCTCTGAGTGGACTTGCACCTCCAGCTTTTAGTTACCAGCCAACTGCATTAACTGTTTGCACTACACAGGGATTCCTCCTCAAAGACAGGGACCACTTAGTTCTTACTGATATCTGAAACCCCTCACCCCCATCCTAACTGGCCAATTCCATTCCCTTATATTTATATTTCTTTCAACTTGGGAAACTCCCATTTAGTGAAACCTCCCATAGGTCTGGCACCAAGAGCTGGGGTAGTGGGGAGACTCAGGGGAGAACAGGCAGGAACTGTTGAAGGCTCTACTGAGGAGACAATGCAGGAGACGGGGGCATCACACTCCAGATGGCCTCCCTGGCTGACAAACCAGTTGTCCCCCTTCCCTTCCTGGACTGACTGTGAGCTGGCTCCAGCAGTCTGCATCCCTGAAGCACACACACAGACCAGTGCACACACACCTACACACACAGAGCCCCACCCAGCCCCCAAATGCCAACCCAAGAGCGATACCAGGGATACCAGGACCCCAGAGCCATGACCTCCCTCTCAGCCAGGTGGGGCATGAGCCTCCCCGGACTGTAGAAAAAGAAACAAGCTCCGAGGGGCGCTCACTCTGCCAAGGTCACAGATGGGGTGGGAGGGAGCAGGGATTTGAATCTGAGCCATCAGGCACTAAAACATGTGCCGTTTCCACACTGCCCCACAGCACTGAACACATTACTCTATCAACAGTTACTCATTAAGTGCCCGGCAACATTCCCTCTCCCCTCTTTCTCTCTCTTACCAACCTCCCCTCTCCGCTGCCACTGTCACTCTGCCCACTACCCTAGGCCACTACAGGTAAAGGGGAGAGGGCAGGAAGGATGCCGTCTTCCCACTCTGGCCCTCTTTGCCAGCCCCAGGGTCCAGCCTTCTCCTCCTCAGAGGAGAAGGATGGCTGTGGTGGCTTGGGTGTCACTAATGAGGACCTCTTCTCCCATGACCTCTGTTCAGGGCACTGCACAGACAGAGGTGAGTTGACTGTAAACTGCTTGGTAAATGACTACAAACCAGTCCAGACCGCTCTTGCAGGGACACACTGACAGCCCAGGCTTGGTCCATGGAGGGGGCAGTGCTGGGGAAGCCTGGGCAGGTCTGCGGCCCCTGGAGCCCCACCCTCTCCCCGAACCCCTAAGCACTGCCACCCAAGTAGGAAGTGAGGAGGAGACTGTGAGCTGTGGGGGCTGCCTGGGGCATACAGCCCTAGATGTCAGAACCAGTAGGGCCTTTAAATGCATCCTCTTTGCCACTCCCCTTTCCTGACTCACACATTGTACAGATGAGGAAACTGAGGCCCAGAGAGGGAAGAGGACTTGACCCAAGTCTCCAGACAAAGAGCCCAAACTAGAATCCATGTTTCTCTTCTTTCCTCCCTGGGTCTATCTTTGGCTGGCTGTGGGACCTTGGAAAAGTCACTTGACCTCTCTGGGTACTCACCAGCCTCAGGGTTACAACTCCTGACATGCTCATTCCACAGGATTGCTGAGAGGATCAATACCAATAACAGTGGCAGCCCTTCACCCACATATAACCCTTTATAGTTTACAGACCATCCCTGCTGCCCATCCCTTTTCAGATTTTTATAATAAGCCTGTAAGGCTGGAGACAGAGGGCCTGGGGTCCCATTTTGTGTATGGAAAAAAAAAAAAAAAAATGAGATTCAGAAAGACAAAGATCACACAGAGAATATGAGACAGAGCTGGAGCTAATACCTAAGTCTCTGACTCCCAAACTAGTGCCCTTCCCATCATTAACCACTCACAAGGCTAGGAACACACAAAAGACTACAGATTTACAGAGACTCCCCAAACCAGAGGAGCTCTGGTAGCATAGTGCCTAAGGCACTTGACTGCTAACCAGAAGGCTGCCAGTTCATACCCAACAGCTGCTCCTCCTCGGAATAAAGGTTGGGCAATCTACTTCCTGTAGTGATACCACCTCAGAAACCCAAGGAGGGGCCGTTATGAGTCAGGTCCAATTTGATGGCTCGTAACAACAACAACCCCAAACCAGGGCTTTGAACTGGTTCATTCCAGTTTGACCCCCTGCTGAAAATTTGCATTTTCACCCCAGATATCCTGACTCAGAATCTACATTTTTATCAAGACCGCCAGGTGATTCTTATAGATCCTATAAGAATATAAGATCTTATAGAGTCTCATGTATACCTGGGGATCTTGTAGATTCTGAGTCAGGGTATCTGCCGTGGAAATGCAAATTCTCAGCAGGGGATGGAACCAGAATGAACTGGTTTGAAGCCCTGCCCCAAACTTACGCCACTGGGGTTAGGTCTGACCCACTCCAGACTCTGGCAGCTCTGAGACGCACACAGCACTCCTTGCTCGTGTGACACAGATCTGAGCTCCAATCCCAGCTCTGCCACACAGGAGCCGCGGACCCTCAGCTCTCTGAGCCTCAAGCTTCTCCACTGTACGGCGGAGCTAGAGAAGTTAGCGAGAAGCCCAGGAGGAGGACTGAATTCCACCAGGCATGCAAGAGTGCTGGCAGCTGGTAAGCACTCATCAATTTCTGCTGTAAGCACATGGATCATGCTTTATGTTTCACTGTGTCTCAGCCTTGGGGGGCTTAGGTCCAAGAGGCTTCTGGTCAGTCCTTAAGTGGATGAGTGGTCGGATGGGTGGAAGAATGCATAGACGGAGGGAAGGGTGCAGGGATGCTCAGGAGAACAAACAGAAGAGAGGAGGGGTCCGAATGAAAAGACTGACTGAAGGACAGGGGACTGAGCTGTGCTCCTGGCCCGCCAGCTCGCTCACTGCCTACCTTAGGGTAGCACTGGCACATGCTCCAGACGACGCCCCCGATCACCATGACGCCGCCCATGGCGTAGAAGGTACCGTAGACCTGGGGCCGGTCGTGGCTCATGAGGAACGTGCCGAGGGCCAGCAGGAAGAGCCCCAGCACGATGAAGCCGATGCGGAAAGTCTTCTCCTCCGCCATGGCTGCCCCGCGGAGGGGGCACCAGCAAACCTGCGGAAACACCCACACAGGCTCACAGGCCGAGGGATGAAACGTTGGGATCACTGCAAATTGAGGCTTAAGGGGAGAGCAGGATCCCTTCAGGTCCAGCTCCGCCCCCGGGCCCACTGGTTCAATGGAGCTAGAGGCGTCACGCTTCAAAGGAAGCGTGCACCCACCCACCCACCTTCACTCCTCACCCTCTCACCTTCCCTCTGGGTCCAGCTGGAAGTGTGTGTGTGTGTGTGTGTGTGTGTGTGTGTGTGAATCTGAGGGAGGGAGGGAGGGTGCAGGGGAGGGAAGGGGAGGTTACCCCAGCTGGGCCCCAGCCAAGGCTTTGACATCACCTCATTTGCCTAGCTTGGGGCTGAGCTGGGTAGACAGGTGGCCCTAGACCTTGCAGTCATTGGAAACAAATGAACAGAAAAAAATCCAAACCCACTGCCATAGAGTTGATTCTGACTCATAGCGAACACCATTGGGTTTCTGAGGTGGGAAATACAGAAGTAGATTGCTGGTGGAATGGCTGATGGATTTGAACCACCCACCTTCTAGTTAGCAGTCAGTTGCTTTAGGCACTATGCCATCAGGGTACAATTGTGCAGCCAAAAGACATTAGAATGCTGCTGGAGGATTCCAGGCTGGTATTCTAGAATCCTGAAGAATCCTAGACTCTTCACCATCATGTGCCCCTCTAGGATTCAGGCATAATTACCCATATTTATTGAATGGATACTGCATGAGTAACACCGTTCCAAACATGTTACAGTATTGACTCATGTAAAGGGAGTCCCATGAGGCAGGTCCTACTATCTTCACTTTACATATGATGATACCAATAAATGACAGAGCTGGGATCTGAACCCAGACCATCTAGTCCCAGAGGCAGCCTTGTGCAGTACTACCTAACTGTAGGAGCTCTGGTGGTGTAGTGGATAAGGCATTTGGCTGCTAACCAAAAGGTTAACAGTTCGAACCCACCAGCTGCTCCGCAGAAGGAAGATGAGGTGATCTACTTCCGTAAAGATTCACAACCTCAGAAACCCAGTGGCGGCTGCTATGAGTCAAAATGGACTTGATGGCAGTGAGTTTTTTTGGTTTGGTAGGTTGTTACCATCAAGTCAATTCTGACTCATAACAACCCTGCGGGACAGAGTAGGGCTGCTCCGTAAGGTTTCCAAGGCTGTAACCTTGATGGAAACAGATAGCCACATCTTTCTCCCACACAGCCACTGGTTGTTCAAACTGTCGGCCTTTCCATTAGCAGCCCAGCACATATCCAGTGCACCACTAGGGCTCCTTGCCGCCTGACTGTGGCACCAGAGTTAAAAGTGCAGGCTCTCACAGCAGACTGCCTGGATTTGATCCTGGCTCCTGTCCTGTGAGGTAGTGTGATCTTGGACAAGTGACATGCCTGTGCCTCAGCTTCCTCCTCTGCCTCTTTCTCACATCTTGTGCTCCATCTACTTCTGCCTATAACGAGCTGCCCCTGGAGAGCTCTAGTGAGTTAATGCCCCTGCAGAGGGGGAACAACTGATAGCAGGTCCCTTACCTCCTAACCTAAGACTGCTACCATAGACTCAGCCCTCAACTCACGCCGGCCCCATGCACCATGGAATGAAATGCTGTCCTGTCCGTGCCATCTCTGTGATCGGACCTTTGCGATCCACAGGGTTCTCATTGGCTGGTTTATGGCAGTAGATATCAGTCCGTCTTCGTCTGCAAGCTCACCAGCATCACGGCAACACTCAAGGCCCCACTGAAGACGGGCTGTGGGTGTGCATGAGGTGCAGGGATCAGGAATACAACCAGCTCTCCCATGCAGAAGGAGAGGACTCTACCAGGGAATCCCCATCACGGGGGAATGACTAATGGTGGAATTTAATCCCCGGGGAAAAGCTGGTGGGAAAATAAGAACCCTTGTTATATGCCATCAAGTCAGACCCGACTCATAGTGACCCCTCCTTGGGTTTCCTGAGGCAGTATCACTACAGAAGTAGATTGCCCAACCTTCCTACGGAGGAGTGGCTGGTGGGTTTGAACCGCCAGCCTTCTGGTAAGCAGTTAAGTGCCTTAGGCACTATGCTACCAGAGCTCCCTGAACCATTAATATCTCCAGAAGAAAACATTAACTTGTACTTTTTACAGGACTAAATTGCAGCTGCAGTACAAAAGGCTTTCCTGTGGCTTCCTGACTTGCTAGGTTTGGGGATTTTCCTGTTTGTGGTCATCACTTCTCCCTCCTCCCTAGCACGGCTGTATTTGTCCCCTAACACCACACTGATGCTCCATATCCTCCACCGTGTGGATACCCCCCCAAAAAAAACATTTTTTTCCAGCAGAAGTTTCTCCCTCACTCACACCCCCTATCACCAGCTCTCAGATCCAGCGGGGCCGCATTTCACAGTTTTCAGAGGAGGTCCATGTAACAGCTCTGGGGACCTTCTCAAGAGGCAGCTGCCAGGGTAGAGACAGGCTGAGGATCACCGGGTTCACGTGCAGGTCCAATCAGGGCAGGTGGTTCCCATCCTGGGCTAATGAATTAATGCCGCTGCAGGGTGTGAACGATCCCTAGTGATTCCCCTGCCTCCTAACCTAGGATTATTGTTGTTGTCTTCTGTGGAGTGAGGCTGGTACTAGGCTCAGAGAAGAGAGGCAACGAGTGCAGGTTCACCTAGCTGGCGCCGCTGCATGAAAAGTAGGACGAGGTCCAAAGGGGCCTTTTCTTTCTCAACCTGGGAGACTCTGACCAGCAGCTGGAATGACTCTCAGCCGGTCCGGTCCAGCCTGGGTCGTCTAGCGCCCCCTGGTGGCCATCTCAGGAAGAGACGCCCGTTCATCCACTCGACAAAACTCGCACCTCTTTTTGGATCAAGTTTCCACTCCAGGATCTCTGGTGGCATAGTGCCTAAGGCGTTTGACTGCTACTCAGAAGGCTGAAGGTCCAAACCCACCAGCCACTCCTCCGAAGGAAGGTTGGGCAATCTACTATCCGTAGTGATACCGCCTCGAAAGAGGGGTCGATATGACTAGTGGGTTTGGTTTGCTTTTTTTGGTCTCCGCTGCACAGCCCCGTGAGGAATCCGGGGTCAGTTATCCTCATTTCACAGACGAGGAAACTGATCCCCGGGAGGGCCGGAGACTGACCAAGATCTCCCCAAACTGAGTTGACTGTTGGCAGGGGACCGGAACCCAGGCACTCCAATCTCAGTGCAGAGGTGGTCCTTTGCCCTTCCTGAGAGGCCTTTGTCCACACTCCTCTTCCCCTATTTTTCCTCCCCTCCCCACCACCAAGCCTCCTTTGTTCCTGCCTCAGTTGTTTCTCTAAAAACAAAAATGGGAACGATAACAAGTAACGAATAAGAAGCTCTGCGATTTCTACTTGGGCCAGTAGGTGCTCAGTAAAATGGGTCGAATTTAACTCTTCCACAAAGTCGTGGTGAGGACTGAAAGGGGAAATGTTTGTGCGGTGCTTCCGAAATCTTTTTCCCACTCGCCTACCCCCTATCCCTTCCCCATTCCCTCTGATTTTGCTTTCCTCTCTGCAAAGTGGGGGAGGACTGGGAGAGAGGGGCGTTGTTGAAGACTCTGTCGTCGTCCAGAAGAGGGCGCGCTAACCACTGTTTTCCTCTTATCCGAAGGAGTTACAGATCTGGCTAGTGAAAAACATCCTTAGGAGCTCCGCTAGCATAGCGGCTAAAGCACTTGACTGCTAACCAGAAGGCTGGCGGTTCAAACCCACCAGCCACTCCTCGCAAGGAAGGTTGGGCAATCCTACTTCCGTAGTGATACTGCGTCGGAAACCCAAGGAGGGCTCGCTATGAGTCGGGGCCGACTCGATGGCACAT